ATATTTAATATTAAAGGTTTTGATACAATGAGAAAACTTAAATACAGGCTAACTACTTGGTGTTAGATTACCATTCCTAGATTAAGTCGCTAGTACATCTAGATCTAACATTAATATTATACCTGTTATTTCCATCTTTTTAGTCTTAGGTTTGGATCTAGACGTAATAATAATGACAGAAATTTAGCTTTATGCATCTAAATTAGATCTTAGATTTGAGTGCATAACTGCAATTAGACCTAAAGTCTAGTACATTAGTTGATGTAAGACACGATTTACAATCAGACAATACAATTACAAACCTCTAAATTAGGCCTATAATGTTTACTAGATCTAGATCTAGGCCTTGCCTGTTGCATATATTACCAATCTTGCACACCAGTTAATATGTTACATCAATCTCGTATTTTCTTTTTGTTGAACATAGACTCACTTGTACGTTGTACTCTAGGACTTGTATTTGATCTACAGATGAATGACGGAATAGTGTAATTTACTTCTGTACATCAAATCGGTCTCACTGTATTTCAGTGGTCGGCTTTTAAAAGTTAAAACTGCAAGCGTAATACACACAAATAACGTAACGTTGTGTCGTATTTACTTAAAGTAGGGCAGTTGCGTTATATCCTAGCGGAGGGCATAATTATTAATTAATAGGCATTATAGGCCAGAGAAAATTTTGCGCCCCTTCACACATGCACCCGGGTGTGTATAATAAACACAAAAGGGTTATGAGATCAGTCCCAGACACCCAGCCCATGCTGAAAGAGTTAATAAACACCATGATATTATAATACTAGTCAAGCCAAAATGAGCAACATAAACATGAATTTAATCTATGAAAAAATAATAATAAAAGTACCAGTCAAGGTGACACACATGTACATATAAAAATAAGGAAGAATTAAAGTATCAAGCAAAACAAAAACATTCTTACCTCGTGGCTGTAATGAACATAAAACAATATGTATGTGTGTATGTGTGTTTGTGTATGTAAGTATGTGTATGTGTGTATGTATACTTCTCTAGGTGGCACCATTGTCTCCAGTCTTAATCACACACACTCACACCACCACCATGCAAAACAATGTACTATTAAAAAGAAAACCAAGAAATGAGAAAAACAAAACATAAGGTATACAAGTGATACACGTATAGAAGTCACAAAGAATGAGTAATAGCAACTAATTAGTGAATTTAAATTTTTTTAAAGAAAAGCAAATAAGCTGTACATTACAATGCACTAGTGTTGTGAATGTAAGCCCTTTGCTTTACAAAGAGCATTTTACCTAGTTCTAATGTTTTAATACAATTTATCAATGTACAACAATGGAATACTGTTCTAAATGTTCTGTATTTACAGTACAGGTGTTTTGAATAACACCGCCTGACCCTAGTTACTTGATACTTCCTATTAGAAGAGATTACCAAACTGATACAGACACCATAAATTACAAAGAAAATTACTTTTCAGGACTTAAAAGATTAGTCCTGGTCACATTCCTCTCATTATAGGTAAGATTTATGTTGGAATTCGTAACTTAAGTTCTTCAATGTATTGAGACCTCTACTGTGAAAATGTCATAGCTTCCCTGTATTATTGAGACAAATGTATTTAGTCTGTTTCACAACCAATATATGGGTTTTATTGTTGTCACTTGTATACTGAGTTTTAAACTATTTGCTAAATATCAGAATAAACTTTATATATATCAGTTAGATTGTTTTAATTCTAAAGCAATAACAGCAGAAGTGTGGGTCTTACTACAAAGTAAAGAGTGTAAGAAGG